TCACAAATGACATATGGACATCAAATCAGAACATTCAATACATGGTGATAACTGCTAATTTTCTGATTGATTATATATATATATATATATATATATATATATATATATATATATATATATATATATATATATATATATATATATATATATATATATATATATATATATATATATGAAGGATTAGGTGCGGTAATATGCTTTAGTAAAAGATGAGGCTTAATCTCAGTCCTTAATCTAATCAAAATCAACAACCCAGATTGAAGAAATTTTTTTTTTTTAAAAAAAATGCAGTTGCAATTTGGCCATTTTCCGTATTGTTAAAAGTTAAGGTGCATAGTTTCTGTGCTTAAGGTGCGTCGATTTAATACTTAAAGTGCGTGTTTTCTGTGCTTAAGGTGTGTCAGTTCTTCAGTTGAGAACTTACGGTTCATTTTTTTTTTTTAACTTAAGGTGCGTCAGTCTAAAGTTTTTTGTGTGTCTTTCCATAGCCTAAGGTGCGTGGTTCCTGTGCTTAAGGTGTGTTAGTTTTTCAGATGAGAACTTAAGGTGCAAATTTTTTGTTTAAAATTAAGGTGAGTCAGTCTAAAGCTGTAAGTGTGTCTTTCCATAGCTTAATGTGCGTCTTTGTATCGCATAAGATGCGCCATGTTTAACACTGAAAAGGTGCGCCAATATAACAGATAAGGCTCGCCATTTTAACACTTAAGGTGCGTCATCCCAAAATGCCAATTGCAAACGCTGCAAAATGTGTGTGTGTGTGTGTGTGTGTGTGTGTGTGTATATATATATATATATATATATATATATATATATATATATATATATATATATATATATATATATATATATATATATATATATTGATAGATTAATGTATAAAAATTATAATTAATTAAATATATACATTTATATAATACATTATATTTATTAGGAATAAGGATCAAATAGGTCACTCAACTGCACACCAAATTGCAATTAGGTCATTGAACTAAAAAAGAATGCAATTGAGCCACTGAACAACACAAAAACATGCAATTTAGCCCAAAATAACTTGTTTACCTGATGTAGCAAGTTACCGATTTTAAAATAAAATTTTTAAAATAATTTTTAATAAATAAATAATTAAAATATTATTAAAAAAAAAAACAGAAACTCCCGGCCGGAGACGAACCGGCTACGTCTCCATGGCTTTGGAGACGAAGGCCAGGGAGACGAATTCGTCTCCTAGCCATGGAGACGAAGGTCTTTGTCTCCATGGCTGGAGACGGAGGTTCGTCTCCGTCCGCCATTTTCTGTTTTTTTAATATATATATTTTAATTATTTATTTATTACAAATTATTTTAAAATTAAGATTAATCTTCACTTTTCACTGGAAGAACTCAGAGATTCAATTCAATCAACCAACAGATAGAATTACACGAGAGTATATCTCAGTCTACTTCTAACTACTCCTATCTAATAGGATACAGACAGTAGACTTATTCTAGCCATAGAAAACTAACATAGGTTATACAAATTAAATACAATTAATAACAATAATACTCACAGAACCCAATTGTATATTTATATATCCCAATTGTATATTTATATATATCCTTTACTTTGTTCAGAACCTATAAAATAGTAGCACTCTCCTCTCCTTATTGTAAATATAAATAATTTGACACAAATAACATACTTTTTTTTTGAGGAGATAAGGTTGGTAGAAAAGGAAAAACGTAGGAAAGAAAAAGGAAGTATGAACCGTACGTACCTGTTTCCGTACTAACCTAACAAAAACCAAACCATGTGGACAACATAGCATTGTTTGTATTGGGTGAGTGTCACCTCGTCATCCTTGTTTCTACTCTTTTTTAATACTACAACTCAACCGTGCATTTCTTCGCTACGGACTATTCGCACACTCCTTTTGGTCCACTAACGTGACCGCATTGCTTTCTCTATTTTATTATTTCTTTTTTATTTTTATTTTTCCACATGGTCCCCTTCACCCATTTCATTCACTCTATGTATGTATATATTTCTTCTTTTTATTTATTTATTAAATGTTTCATTTACAACCTTTTTTCTTGTTGTGTCCGCTTTGTTCCTTTTAAAATTTAAGAAAAGTTCAATTTTAATTCGTGGATTGTATTAGTATTTTAAAATTAGTTTTTGACGTTAAATTTGTTCAATTGTAATTTTCTGAATTTCATGATATAATCTTGAAAAATCAATAGAATGAAAAAAATTGATAATATCATGAAAGTCAAAAATTGCAATTGAACAATTTTAAAATTGATGACTAATTTTGAATTGTCAATTTGATTAAAATTAAAATTTTGTGTTAAAATTTGATCGAATATTCCCTTGGCCCTTGCATCTAGGTAAGTTAGGTTTTTAAAACTCTTAATTGTTAGTCATTATTAGTTGTAGTTTTTTTTTTTTTTTTTTATAATTATAATTATTGAGTTTTATTTGAAATATGAATTGTCAATTAAATAACACTGCATTTGTGATTGAAAAATGTATATTTTCACTATTCAAAAATTATAACTTGAGAAAGAATGCTTGATGTTAATAAGACAAATACATGTTAGTCATATGAGAATTGATTATAATTTGAAATCTAATTATTTTTATTTTTATTTTTATTATTTTATTCAAAATATATTGAGAAAAATAAGTATATAATGCGTGTTATTTTTGTTCACGAGTTACTTATCAAAACTTTGGCATTTTAACTATAAATTGTGTAATATGATAATTAATTGAAAATCGTATAATACTAAATAATAAAAATGGAGTTTATTATATATAAAAAAGAACAATATCATTTTTATAAATTGTAAAATAAAATTATTATTCGGAGTACTATTTAAAAAAAATATTATCACCCAAATAAAAAAATATTACTACTCTGCATTCTAAAATTTTACTAATTATTTTATTAATGTTGTGAACGGCAGCAGACAGCACAGCTCCCACTTCTTCATTTAAGTTATTAATGCCTTTGTGGGAGAAGTTATTAATGCCTTTTTACCAAGAAAAAAAAAAAAACTTTTTACAATATTGTTATTATTTATTTATTTATGAAAAGAAGCATAAATAGCCCATCAAAATTTTACTATTCGTGCAATTGGACCACCGAACAAAAAAAAAAGTGCAATTGAATCATCTAACTTTATAAATTTGTGCTAGTAATATTTATAGCAGGTTATTTGCAAGTAAAACCGGTCTAAGTCTTTTTTTTTTTTTTTTTTAAATCTAACATGGACGGACCTCCTCCTCCGTCCAGGTCATCGACGAACGGAGGAGGGGGTAGCCTCCTCCGTTCAACTTGCTGACGGGTGGAGGAGGTAACTTTGCCTCCTCCTCAGTCCAAATCTACAAAGAAGGTGCAACCATGCCTCTTCCTTCGTCAAGGTCGACGAAAGAGGAGGTAGCTGTCACATACTTCACAAAAATATGATAAACTCCTCATCCCATGATTATTATTTAAAAAATAAAGATGGAGCTTGGAACAGGAGGGCTGACTCCTCTGTTCATAGTTAAGTGGAGGCAGCCTTGCCTTCCCTTTTGATGAAGGAAGAGGTGGCTGCCTTCTGTACCTTGACGGAGGCGGCAACAACCTCCTCTTTTAAAAAAAATTAATATAATATTTTTTATTAATATATTAAAATTTTCAAAGAAAGTTTTAAAAAAATACATTTTTTTTATGAACATGTCCTAGGAAAAGGTGAACTGAAACCTGTAGTCTATTTGTAAAGAATGTCAATTGCACATTTTTAGTAAAATTAAATGGTTCAATTGCACACTTTTTTATTCGATGATCTAATTGCACAAATAGTAAAAAATTGATGATATATTTAACACCTTTTCCTTTATTTATTTTGGATTGCATATTGGTTGTCCCTCATCAAAGAGGAAAAATAATTGGCCTTTTCTTTCTCTCACTGTTTTGTCACGTTTAGTGTGGGGTGTCCCTCCCTCAAGAAATGTGGTTGAGTTGTGACCTTGTGACTTACCTCTAATTATTTATCATTCTAAATTTTTAATAATATTTTTCACAGTTTGCCTAAGTGTTATGCTTAAATTAAGTATTCTTAACTTTAATATTTGTTTAGTGCAAAATAGGGTCGCAGATGCTCTTATGAAGATGACGCTACAATTTCATAAGGGTCTTTATGTGGTTGCCAGTTTTTTTTTTTTTATTTATTTTTTTAATTATTTTTTTTATGCTAATCTAAGACCTCTAATTTGAGAAGTCACAGCTATTCCGCTCGATCACAAGGTCTTTGGGCAAGAATGTGTAGCTTTTAGTGTTATGTTTTTTTAGGTCTCCCCTATCCTAATTTAAACAATAAAAATAATTTAAGTTGAGTTTGGTTGGAAATTCTGTATTGTACGTTGGTACTATATAATTTGATACTCATTACTATGTTTGTTTAATTTTTCTATTTTTTATATCCTACTATTAGATTCAAATTCTTTACTAATTATAAAATTCATTATATCTTTCATCCCTACTTCTAAATAAAATAAAGAGACTCTTCTTGCTTAAAACCATTACCATTATCAAGTATTTGATTACCATTATCATTTCGATTCCAATGTTTGAACCAAACGCCCTTACATTAACAGTGCATTTATCAACTGTCCTAAATTATTAAGTTATTAGGTAATAAGTTTTGATTCAAAGAAAATTGTTGTATTTCTTTGACATTGTTGATATCATAAAATTTTTCATAATATAGTTATATTTCTTCTAAAGAGTAGGACATGCCACCAATCTAGATAATTACTCTTTTCTTTAGCTTTTGTTGGATAAAAACTCTCTATATTCTTATTATCAAAAAAAAAAAAAAAAACTATATTCTTTAGTTATTTGTAAATTGATTAATCTTATTGCTAATTGATTTTTTATTTTAAAAAATCTACACAATAATTGCATGAAGATGAGTGAAAATAAAAAACAAAAAACCCAAAGTATTTATTATCATGGACTACTTAATAATGTACATATGGGACTTATTATTTGCTTGTCCTCCTTAATCTCCTTGGAAGGATTCAACGTTTGTGTTCCACTCTCTCCCCTTTCGCTGCAAATCATTCCCTCTTTCAATAAAAAGTTGAAAAAAAAACAGCCAGCACCTTACATGTGATGCATCATCCTTCATCTTTCTAGCCCTCTTTCTTGGTGTCAGAGCCAAAAACAAGGAGGAAAGTTAGCTGCTTAAATACACTGAAAGTGCAAATTTTTTTTATTTTTTATTTTCAGAGAATGAATGGTCTTTCAATTTCAATTACAGAACCAGATCTTTCTGAGTTCGTTGAAGTTGATCCAACTGGAAGATATGGCAGAGTATGAGCCCCCCTACCCCTACCCAACCTGCACCACTCCCTTTCTGCTGGCTTTTCTTTGTAAAGTTTTGAGCTTGATTTTTGGTTTCTTTTTTTGTTGTTGCAGTACAATGAAATACTTGGAAAAGGGGCTTCAAAGACAGTGTATGTATAGAAATTCATCTTTTTTTTGTTGGGTGTTTGACAAATCTGTTCAGGTTTCATCAAAGGCCTGTTTGTTGAGTTTCTGAGATTTGTGAAGTACCATTTCAAAAATTTGTACCAAAGCTAGAACCTTTTTGGAAGATTGAATAATGGGTAGCTGATGGATTTGGGATCTCCCTTGCAAAGAAGGAATCTTTTTTTTTTTTTTTTTTTTTGGGTATTTTGGGGAAGGTGGGGGGTTGGTGATGGGTCTGAGGTGGATTTAGGATTCTGATTGGGGTTTTGTTTTTTTATGAAATGGTGCAGTTACAGAGCATTTGATGAGTATGAAGGGATTGAAGTTGCTTGGAACCAGGTGAAGCTGTATGATTTCCTGCAAAGCCCTGAAGATCTTGAGAGGCTCTACTGTGAAATTCACCTGCTGAAGATATTGAATCACAAAAACATTATGAAGTTCTACACCTCTTGGGTTGATACTGCCAATAGGAACATCAATTTTGTAACTGAAATGTTTACTTCTGGAACACTCAGACAGTAAGCATATATATCCCATTTCTTGATCCATGTTTTTCTCTGGCTTTTGGTTCCATTCAATCAGTTAATCTTGGATTGGGTTTGGCAGGTATAGGCTGAAGCACAAAAGGGTTAATATTAGAGCAGTGAAGCATTGGTGCAGACAGATCTTGAATGGATTACTCTATCTCCATAGCCATGATCCCCCAGTGATCCACAGAGATCTCAAGTGTGATAACATCTTTGTGAATGGGAATCAAGGGGAAGTTAAAATTGGAGATCTTGGCCTAGCTGCTATTCTCAGAAAATCCCATGCTGCTCATTGTGTTGGTATTCTTCGATATTTTTCGATCTTTGCCTGTTTGCTAGAGGGATCTTTGCTGTTTACTTAATGCTATTCTTGATAATATGTTTAGGAACTCCTGAATTCATGGCCCCAGAAGTGTATGAAGAGGAATATAATGAATTGGTTGACATCTATTCTTTTGGGATGTGTATCTTGGAAATGGTCACTTTCGAATACCCATATAGTGAATGCACTCATCCTGCCCAGATCTACAAGAAAGTTATCTCTGTAAGTATTCCCTTTTCTTCATTTTTCAATATAATCTCGATCTTTAGTGTTTCTATCGTCTCTAGTAACTTGGTTAGTTGTTATATAGGGGAAGAAACCAGATGCATTGTATAAAGTGAAGGATCGTGAGGTACGAGAATTCGTTGAAAAATGCTTGGCCACTGTCTCCTTAAGGCTATCAGCAAGGGAGCTTTTGGATGATCCATTCCTTCAACTCGAAGATTGCGAGCACGATTTAAGGCCTATGAAGAGAGAGTTGGATTACATGGACCCTCTATTAAGGCAGCCAGTTCTCGAGGTGGACTGTGAAGGAACATCGTTTAGTAATGGCTTCTACAATGGGTACTGCAATGGTTATGCATATGAAGAAGAGGAGAAAGGATGGGCGTGTGATCCTAATGAATTCGACCAAAATGGAATCGAGCTTTTCGAGTACAATGATGATGAACGCGAAGATCATTCTTCTAATTTGGATATAAGTATCAAAGGGAAGAGAAGAGAGGATGGGAGCATCTTTTTAAGACTTAGAATTTCAGACCAAGAAGGTTAGACCATTAAAAACCGAATCTTTTTGAACTTCATTCTTTTCTTGAACTCAAAACCCAGTTTTGTTTTTGTTTCCAGGTCGAATCAGGAATATCTATTTCCCGTTTGATGTTGAATCCGATACAGCGTTAAGCGTTGCTACTGAAATGGTAGCAGAGCTGGATATTACTGACCAAGATGTTACTAAGATAGCAGATATGATAGATGGGGAGATTTCGAAATTAGTCCCGGATTGGAGACCAGGGCCTGGATTAGATGTAATCTCTCACTTTGCAAATCCCAGTTTCTGTTACAATTGTGTTTCGAATCATACTTCTACAGGTTCCTTTATGAATCTCCTGTCGAATAATCCAGCTGCCAAGAATCTACACTTCTTGCAGTGCAGTAGTTGTGCCACACATGGCCGGTTCGAGGAGATTACGTATCAAACAAATAGCCCTCGGGTGAATGCTTCTAACCATGAAGACGATCCGGCTTCATCGAGCCAAATAAATGGCTTCCATCACATGGAATATTGGGACAGGCACGAAAGCCTCGAGTGCAGCTCAGTGTGCTCCGGGGAGAGCCATTCCCTTGAAGAAAGCGAGAAACAGTATCAAGAAGTTTCGACTAAAGAGGCAGGCGAGAGTTGAGATGGTTTGCAACAAAGTAACAGATAATAAGGTTGAGGGAATTTAATGGTTTTTGAGAAATTGAGCCATGAATCCATGTTCTTCAATCGTCTTTCAGATCAACCGATAATATAGAAGTTGTGCTCGAAAGTGCTGCCCCAGTTCTGGTATCCCAAAGGGCCCGAAAATGTGAGGCGAACAGATCGATTTGTCTACTGTCAAGCAAAAGAAAAAAGAGAACTTTCTTTTATCAACAACTTCAGCGCATCATCACCGGTTGACACTGTTTGTTTATAATGTTTTCAGGCTCAGATTCATGTTCCTAAATTTTCACAAAAATTGCAGGCTGTATAGAACCATGAGGCACCCTTTCACCCCCTTCCCCTTCTTGTCCATCCACCCTCTTTTCTTCACATTGTTAGATTGGCTATAGAGCATTTTCTTGTTGAGAAAAGGCTGATTGAGGGCCAAATGTAAGTATACCAAGAGAAATGTAATTATTAAGGCTTAGGATTCCCTTATGGGATACCTTCTTGTTCCCATTACTGTCATCTTGATCAATTATTCAAACATTATTTATATCTTAGAAATTTTCCTTGATATCCTACAAAAACCATCTTTTTTAATAAGGTGTGCGATCACCATGAAGTAAATCAACTTAAGTTGTCCATAACTGATCGGTTCAAACCAAAGAAGGGGTGTGCGACTACAAGGAGATAAACTATTTTAGGTTGTCAATAGCTTACCGATTCAGACCAAGAAAGTTAATAGGCTGTTTTGGTTGGGAGTCGAACTTGTAACCTTATGGTAATCAAGTCAATAGCCCGACAAGCTGAAGTTATCCTTTACGAAACCATGTTGTAATTAATAGAGGCTGTGCAATGAAAAAATATACACTTTCAAATTTCAATAGTAAACATGTTTTCTATTTTCTGTTCTCTAATTCTCCGATTTTTCAGAAAATTTGAGAAATTTCTCAGTTAGTAAATGGGCTCGATATGTTTAAAAATTTATATTTATTGAGAAAAGTGAGAAATAGGAATCAACGGGTTAACATAGATACAAGCAATGATCACAGAATCTCTTGCATTATATATTTATATATAAGGGAAACCGGCCTGCAGATTGCCAGTGATGAAGTGAATTATTTAGTGGGATGATTCTGCTGTGCCCAATGGGAGCTTCATAATGACAACCTACGATACTTTGCATATTGCATGCACCATGCATATACCAATTATTAGGGTTTTATTACACCTACTTTTATTTTACATTTTAATTTTTTTTTTAAACATCGTTAATCTTAACTTGCAAATCGATCTATTTCTCTTTTTCATTTTTCGTTCCATCTTTATTTAAATAATATAAATTTTTTCGTTTCATCTTTGTACAAATAACATGAGATAGTGTTTGGTAAATAGCTGCTAACTGATTGAGTTAGTGAGTTTAGCTGATTACATACACAATGATTTTCTTAAAAAGCTAATTGAAAAAGCTGATTTTATTGAATTGGTTGTTTAACCAAGTCAAACAGCTAATAGTAATCGAATAAATTAAAATTGACTGATAGATTAACTATTTTATCAAACAGAGTCATAATAATATAAAGCAGATCACATGAGGGGAATATAAAGTCTCCGGATTACATGTATTTTGCCAATTATGATGAAGATGAAATTATTGAATTGGATGGCCCACACCCAAAAGTATCATGCCTCATCCAGCTGAAATCATTGTCTGGCTAGCTAGAGCATGCATGGTCTGGAGGCTTACTCAATCACATTGTGGTCCACCAATATCAGTTTAGTTTGGCTGACCTTATCTGTATTTTTATTTATTTATTTTACAACTATTTTTCAATTTTTTTTTCTCATAATAATAGTGTAATAGCCTTAAATAAGGGAAATTATGTATGGACCGAGTTTAATTTGTCCTAACCATGTTACTTAAAGACTAAATTAAACATATGTGTCAATATTTTATTGAATTGATTTGGTCTTGAAAGTGGAACATTGCTAACTTGCTATATCATTTTTGGGTTCTAGAAATTATAGAACTTAAGATAATATTCCATATATGTATTTATGTATATATGTATTTTGTCGATCTGTATATAAAAGTTAGGAGGTATCAAAGAAATTCACTAAATATGTGTATGAAAAAGTTTTGATATTCCTCACTCCAATGCAACCATTCCCAAAAAAAAAAAAAAAAAAAAAAAAAAAAGTGAGGAGGAGGTGAGACAATTTTTTAAAAAACTACTCCATTTTTTTAATTATTTAATATAATCAAAATTATACTATCACAAGTCTTTTGTAACGGGTACAATCAAATATGAATGCAATATCCCTATATATGATATACCCAATACAATGGATGGTATACTTTCTCTATAGATAGAGGCCACATTTGGTGAGAGCGCAAGCTCAAGTGCAAACTCAAAAGTACATCATACAAAATTACAAAGTGTATATTATAAGGAAAATGTTAAATGTACCGCCCATTTTGTACTTGTACTTCCACACACAAAATCTTAATGTAGACACTTGTATTGGGACCCACATGAAAAACATAACTTATCAGAATCCGCCACATTAGGGAGTAAAATTTAGAAAGTTTAGATAGTAAGATTAGGGAATACATGTAGTAGAACTCATATTATAATATGTAAAAGTACACCCAATAAATGTGAGAAATATAAAGGTGTATCATGCACAATTACAAAACACACTTATTATTAAATTGCACTTTTAACTATCATAAAATTTACGATTTACTTTGTACTTGGACATGCGTTCTTATCTCTCTCTCTCTCTCTCTTTCTCTCTCTCTCTCTCTCTATATATATATATATATATATATATATATATATATAATTTATTTATTTATTTATTTATTTATATGCCTGTTGAATTTTCTGAAACTTGACCGGCAAGTTGTAAGGATTATTCAACTTTGCAATCAAAACTATGAATTTGACTACCAATGTCCATTGACTCAATTAAGCCATGGAAATTCATATGTAAACTAAAAAATAATGGATTTTTTTTTTTCTAATTATCCCGTTGTTTCAATCTTTTTTCTTTTTAATAGAATGATAATATATATTATACAAGTTTTGGTCAACTCTGCAACTGCGCTAAAACCAGCAATTTGATAATGTACAACCACCGACACCAGATCTAGACTTTTTTAGATTACCAATTCCTTACTCCGCTGCCTTCATTTCATTATTTTGAATTGGTTTGTTAGTTAATTAGTTGGTTTCTGATCTCCCTTTGATTTGGTTTTATTTTTTAATTACATTTTATTCACTGGCTCTTATATTCAAATTTTATTGTCTCTAACCTCACAGCTTATGATAATTGACTAGTTATACATGTGTATTGCATGAATAGTCTGATGTCGGATATGTATTTTTAAATTAGTGTGCCAGAATTTTATCAAAGTATCATATTATTTGGTGTCCTAGAGTATATCAATGCAAGATTATCAAATTTTGCATAAAAGTAAATATTTCAAGAATGCATAACTATGATCTGTGGTAAAAATGTTGGATTAACTGGTGCAATAGCAATTTTAGAGGGAAGCACCCCCACTGGATAGTACCCTAAGCATAGTTTTTGCAACACAAAACCCTATTAATTGGCGTTATCCATGGTTCATCATCTTGTTGCTACTTCCGCCAGAAATGAATTCTTAATTTGATCTAGTCCCCTGGTGTGCTTCACTGTAATTTTAGTGTCTTGGCGCAGTGCACCTTTAAAAATAGAACCAAATCTTCATTCCCCCCAAAAAGTTCATGTTAAATTTTATATTGGCACTATTTGATAAAAAATTGGCCTATATACCAATTTTAGCTTATTTGACCACTATTAATTGTTTGATTTAGTTAAAATATCAATATAAGTGTTTGGTTAATTAGTTTTTTGTAACTCTAAAATGCTAAAATTCAAAAGGCTACTCCAAACAGCTTTTTTCAATTAGCTTTTTCAGAAAAGCAATTATACCAAACAGCTATAAGCTAACAACTAATTTACCAAACACTTTTCTACAACAGCTAATGTTATCAACTAGTTATACCCTCTAATTAACACAATCAGCTAACAGCTACCCGCTAACAGTCATTTACCAAACATGGCCATTGTATTTTTTTAATACACTCTAACATATTCATAGTATATGTTTAACGACACAATTATGTCAAATTTGATTGGGATGTGGTTCGAACCTAAGACTTTCCTTATGAAAATCAATAAGTAAGTTAATAATAATAAATAGTTAACGGAATATTCCGTTACTAAAGTTTACACTAACAAAATACAAGGGTATTTAGAAAAAGTAAATGATATAATAGAGGGTAAAATAGGAAAAATAATAATAATAATAATACTAAAATCAAAATAATATGAACCATTAATTTCAACCAATAATTACACCAACATTTTTTAATTTCCGTTAGGAGCCTAACTTTATTCGCTCTTATTATATTTGTAGATTGTAGATAAACAGATTGTTAATGATGGATGGTGTACTAGGGCTCACGACCCACTGCCCAACACGGATAGGAGTGAGCATCTTGGAATAAGATTGGGTTTTCTAATTCTAATGTTACAAGGACTCCCAATATGAAGACAAATTATTATGTGGATCATGGTCCATACAGTGCTTTGTCGACCATAAAAAAGTACATTATTAATATACTAAAAGTACATTATTTGTGTACTAAATGTACATTATACAAAAAATAATGTACTTTTATCGCTCAAATAATATATTTTTCTTGAATACAAGGTTCATTTTTAATATACTAAAGGTATATTATTTGTGTACTAAATATACATTATTTGATAGTATACAAAATAATGTACTTTCAATACTCAAATAATGTACTTTCAAATAATTACACAAATAATGTATTTTTTATTTGTGTGGACCATGGCCCACACAATAATAATTGCAATATGAAGCAGTCTAAAAATTTATTTAGGACTCTAAAGCCACTTGTATAAAATATAAATAGACCTCCATACATAGGGAGAGAGACGAACAATTCATAGTAATACAATATTCATTTTATCTCTATATTCTCTCTATTTTTCTATATACTTGTCATTTTAACGGTTGTGTTAACTAACTTTTACTGTCTAAAAGTCATAAAACCAACAAATAATATTCAAATCCGATAAATTATGTATATTGTTAAAGAGTTCTAAGCTAGATTTTCGCAAGAGTCAAATACTACAAGCATGTCATGTTAAATAATTCTAGACCAGGTTTTCCCTTAAGTCAAATTATGTGGAAATGACTTGGACTGAATTACGATTAGCTTCACTACTAGATGTTGTTTGCAAAAAAAAAAAAAATAAATAAAAAAAATAATAATAATAATAATAATAATCCAGTTACAAGAACCAAATTTTTTAACAAAATCTTTCATCATTTAACGTGACAATATATTACTTTTGTATTTATAT